TTCACATCAGAGACATTAAAACGTCTCTCTCCCTCTCGCTCTCTCTCTCTATGCCTGCCACTGTGCTGCATAATATTATACAGATAGCGAAATTGGTGTGGCATATAACATATACATGACTGTATATTTACCCACGGGCCAAGCGTGGGACATTCACGGATGCACACACACACACACACACCACACCACACACATGGCCTGCAGCAAATAACATTTCATAGCTACAAGACCTTCAAAGAAAGTCATGGTGTCAAGAAGATAGACACGTACAAGGATAATTGTAAAGTATAAATTATATTATACATGTACATGTAGCAGGGATATTCTCAGAGAGTCAAACTACCGGATGAAATGGCAAACGAAAGTCTCAACTTCAGAGAGTAGAGTAGAGAGTAGAGTGGGTGGGTGTGCAGACCAGCGAAGGTCATAACAAATTGATAATAACGTGTAACCAATGCCGGCAATGGATAATGTGTGAGCGACCAAAGAGGCGTACATAGCATTACCTGTACCACCATAAACACACCTTGACCTTGCCCATTGCGTAGCAATGATACCGCATTGTTATTTCTCCAGTCCACGACAGAATGACTGATGGCGTTTCAGGTCGCCGCTTCGACGGAACATGCGGCCGCAGGCGCAACCGTAGCCAGCAGCAGAGGGTGCCTTGTGTGGTCGATGGGCAATGGCACGCCACTCCGGATGGTTCTGGGCTGCATCGTACCATCCACATGTTGGTACCGGTGGCTCAACCGGCTCAAAGTCATGCATAACAACGTCCCTCCACCTCTTGCGTGGATCACGCGCGGGGCGCGGGGCAGGCAGTTCACCGAAGAGAACACACTTCGGCAACCGGTGATCTTCCCTCCGTGCCACGTGTCCAAGCCAGCGCAAACGTCATTCCCGTATGATGTGACCAATGTCCTCAGGCACTCCAAGGGCCTTTGCAAGGGCTGAGGACGTTGCGTGGGTCTCCCATTGCTGCCGTCGCGACACTCCAACGATAGATCTGACACATTGATGGTGGAAAAGGTTGAGGTGTCGTAGGTCCGGAGCCTTCGTTGTCCAGGTTGAGGCGCCGTACAGGAGGGTAGAGAGCACCACGGCAACATACACGCGACGACGACACTGCAAACTCAGTGACCGGTTCTCGGATACGGCTTGCTTCAATTGCAAGGAACTAAATACGGCAAGCAAATCGAGGGACATTAGGTGCAAACCTCGTTGTTCTAGTTGTCTAGACTGCACGGGGTCTTGAAAATACTGAGCCTCCACGTTGTATCTGTGTGGCATGTGGCATCCGTTGATCTCGTTTGAGTAGTAGTAGGCATGCACTGCATTATGTTTTGATGAAAGGTTCGATAGCTGATGAATGGGTTTATCATTTGGCTTCCTGTGTGGGTATTGCTTCTGTGGATTGGTTTGGAGCAATGTTCAGATAGTCCAGGCATCAGGCAAATTTATAATGGCGGTCCAAGCTAGTTGAATATCCGGATCACTTTTTCTCATCTGGTCTACACTCCATCCGCTTGCATCCGTAAGCAATGCAAACGCATTGTCCCTTGCACAGGCACGTGACTCCTGCAGGCAATTTTGGGAGAGCGTAAAGTGGCAGGACGGATATTCCCGTGAAGTTACAACATGATCTGAGTATAATCGTAGGACATCAAGTCTTGACACTACTTGTGACATGATCAATTCTGCTATGCTCAATAATGCAGACTAGCAATAAGAGGCATTTGTCAGATACTAGTAACCATGAGGTACTGAGACGATTCTCTTTAGCAAACCACCCACTCCGCTATAAATGCTCAAATAATCTGTCATCTGCCTGCTCCAACTTGACTGTCCTCTTGACAAGTGAAAATCGCTGGCGTTGTCTGGGCCATAAAACCATTATTGGCATTAGTCCAACGCCTCCCTTGCTCCTCATCTCTGCATCTCGTAACGATAGGTCTGGCACATCGAAATCTAAAACTAAAATACTTGGAGCTCTTATTTGTTCAAGCTATATTTTCAGAGCCAGGAAGTTGCAAATGGCAAGAAACCCAGCTTCTCTTCACCATTGGTATCACGAGCTATGATCATTATCAGTGAGCAACGTTACTAGAGGAAAGTCGCTGGAGTGAACAGAAAGCTTTCCAAGCAGCAACGTTTCTTTCTCAGCAAGAACAAATAAAAATGAAAGAAGCAACACCAAGGATTTGTCTATCCCGGTATAGGTACCGGGGTGTGTGTAGCCTCTGGCATGGCAAGGTTCTGCCACAGATTTCCAGTACAACGGCCACGGACAAGTGTCCCACAGAGACGCGAAACCGGGAAAACCCCAAATCGCAGCCATGTCGCACCCCACGCAACTGCCGCAACTGGGCCATCGCAGGCCATCGCAGAAGTTGAGCTTGGCTCAACTTTTGCGATGCGATGCGATGCGACAAGCGATTTGGTGTACGATTTTGACCTTTTCTACAGCAAAGTTGTACAAAGGTGCAAGAGTTGCCTATAAATTTTTACAAGTTGTGTCAAACCGCGCGAATATCATGGTGACGTACCCAAATCAGCAAAACTTTGTCGCATCGTTGACTTCTTCTGTGAATGGTATTTCGCGAGTTCGCATCGCACGCATCCATCGCAGATCGCGTCGCATCGCGTGTCGCATCGCAAAAAAGCTTCTGTGAATCCCGCTTTAAGCGGGATTCACAGAAGCTTTTTTGCGATGCGACACGCGATGCGACAGGCGCGAAACCGGGAAAACCCCAAATCGCAGCCATGTCGCACCCCACGCAACTGACGCAACTGGGCCATCGCATGCCATCGCAGAAGTTGAGCTTGGCTCAACTTTTGCGATGCGATGCGATGCGACAAGCGATTTGGTGTACGATTTTGACCTTTTCTACAGCAAAGTTGTACAAAGGTGCAAGAGTTGCCTATAAATTTTTACAAGTTGTGTCAAACCGCGCGAATATCATGGTGACGTACCCAAATCAACAAAACTTTGTCGCATCGCTGACTTCTTCTGTGAATGGTATTTCGCGAGTTCGCATCGCACGCATCCATCGCAGATCGCGTCGCATCGCGTGTCGCATCGCAGAAAAGCTTCTGTGAATCCCGCTTTAGTCCTACCCATGAGGATGTCGCAAACATGAAGAATATTGTGAACCGTGTGTCGCTGTCGCAGCTCGTCGCATGTGTCGCAAGTCGCATGTCGCGTCGCAGAAAGTTGTATTGTGAATCGGCCTTAAAGCGGGATTCACAGAAGCTTTTTTGCGATGCGACACGCGATGCGACGCGATCTGCGATGGATGCGTGCGATGCGAACTCGCGAAATACCATTCACAGAAGAAGTCAGCGATGCGACAAAGTTTTGCTGATTTGGGTACGTCACCATGATATTCGCGCGGTTTGACACAACTTGTAAAAATTTATAGGCAACTCTTGCACCTTTGTACAACTTTGCTGTAGAAAAGGTCAAAATCGTACACCAAATCGCTTGTCGCATCGCATCGCATCGCAAAAGTTGAGCCAAGCTCAACTTCTGCGATGGCCCAGTTGCGGCAGTTGCGTGGGCCGCGACATGGCTGCGATTTGGGGTTTTCCCGGTTTCGCGCCTGTCGCATCGCGTGTCGCATCACAAAAAAGCTTCTGTGAAGGCCGATTCATACTTCATTTTTTGCGACGCGAAAGCGCGATGCGAAAGTGCGAAATGTCTTGCGTTGGCGACGGCTGATTTATACTTTTCAGGTCATTTTGCGAGACGCCGCGAGTCGCACTTCACGTGGTCAACTTTTTTGCAACTAAAAAATGTTGTTCTCTTGGCAACGGGAAGTTGTGCCGGGAAACTGCAAAAATCCACTGACATGATGTGGTTCTCGTGTTTCTTTTCATTTTGAGAGAGACGAGCGCAAGAGCAAGAGCAAGATGGATATGGACACAGCGTTGGATGTCGCAGCAGCCTGTTTGCTGCTAGCTGCTGCGTTTCAGCGTCGGAGGACAGCACGGACCAGACGTTGGTGTGTTCGTCCGTATTACCAGCACAGGTTAGAGCGAGGGTCGTACCAGTCAGACATTGTGCAAATGAGAAGTGTAGACGAGAGCCTGCACTTCAAGTATGTGCGTATGTCCCCGGCTGTTTTCGACCGCTTACTCGTCCTGATAGAGCCGTTCTTGCCGGTGAGGCGTCAGCTGAATTCCGCAACAAGACCAGAAATCACCAATGCGGAACGATTAGCCCTGACGCTGCGATATCTGGCCTCAGGAGAGTCCATGCAGAACATTGCTATCCAGTTCCGTGTGGGCCACTCCACTGCCCACCACATCATTATCGATGTATGCCAAGCCATCTGGGCTGGTCTTGTGGACAAATACATGCAGTGCCCTTCAAAACCAGCTGAATGGGCTGCTGTAGCTACTGATTTCTACGCGAGGTGGAACTTCCCACACTGTAGTCCACAAGCCAGCCGGGTTTTATTTATTTTTCGTTCCCATGTGAGGTGCACAAGGATTTGATGTGTGGAGCAGATAGAGCATTCAGAGTGCTTTCCCATGATGTGTCACTTATGCCAGTAACCCGGGGCTTTGTTGACCAAAACATGGAAACAAATGGTTTCCTGCGTTGCCATGGCAACAACAAGCAAAATCGTGTATTAAAGCCACTTCTGCATGGCTAAAAAGGAAAATTCTTTCAACATTAAATAGATACAAGCAAATGTAATCTGTGTGCCAAGTTTCAACATGATAGCACCACCTAGACTACTCAAAAGCACACATCAAGTTATAACATAGTAACGAGTTGGCAATTGGCATGCACAGAACGACTGTAGTAGAATTATCCTAATCATGAAAAGTAATACATTCCAGCTTAGCATGATGTACATGTATGTACAGTATTTACAGCATCGAATCAATCCAGAGATATTACTCCTCTCTGTAGGAGACTAACAGTACATAGCAAGAGCGGATCATTTGCTATGGTAGATGGCTATACCGGTAAGTACATTGTATAAGCGACCAGCGAAGAAGTGTTTCACTGCACAGCTTGCAGTGTGTCATCTGCTTCCAGAGATGAAGCAACGTCTTCCTGAACCGTGTCCAGAGTTGGGCAGTTGGTGCAGGCAACTCCTGCCGAGTTGTGGCGACACTGGCAGGCATCTGTGCATTTCAAAGTATGGCGCCGGCATGAGCAGTTCCCACTGCTACAGCCTGTCTTGCAGCCACAGCTGAGGAACTCAAGGAGTGCTCGGGGCGCTGGGGGTAGGCTCAACCAAGAAACGGCAAGATTGCCATCGCTATTCAGACACCAGCCTGTACAAAAAGGAGTGCACCGAAAGAGGAACTGATCATCCACAAGGCAATATTAAAAAAGTTAACACAGTTTTTTTTTAATAATGCTTCTTCCTAGCTTCCATGCACCACATTCTAAAACAGTAACCTTGAGCCTCTTACCTTGATTATTCTCGTGTGGAGCAGGTATGTCTGGTATTGCAGCAAGACAAAGGCGCCACACAGCAGCCTGATAGTTGGCCCTGGCGCAGTGCTTGACGAAGGCATCATGGCATGGAGGAAGCTGATTCGACTGCAACGTTTTCGTGCAGAACAACTGATACCTTGCATCGTTGACCTTGGTGCAACTTTTTGCATTGTAGAGAAGGCACAGAAACGTCTCCAGGGAATCAGTGACATCACCAGGAAGTCCGTCAAAGTTACAACCAACACGGGCGAAGATTGCCTTGTAGTCGGAGTGGGCTGGGGAGCACAGCAACTTGAAGGCAGATTTCTTGCCATGGTGCGCAAAGGAACTGACTGCGTCACAGCCGGTAAAGGCATGGAATGCCGGCAGAGCATCACACACCTCTCTGCCCAACTTTTCGCTGACGGCATTGACCGGTATCTTCCGTGTCTTGTTGCCAGTTCCAGTTAGGAAGTGTAGAGCAGCAGGGATGCGATTCGTGACTGATACAGCAAGAACTAACACATCGGTGTCCGGTGACTTGATGGTCACGTTCGCGTGACCTGCTGCCGCCGCATTGCTGGCATGGAGAAGGAGCCTCGTGTCAGCTTCTTCATGCGTCGATTTAAGGCTCGCAACAGGAGTATGGACACCCACACCATCTACGCATCTTACCGTGCTACATGATTGCCTGGAAGTTGTCACAAGCTCCTTGCCATCAGGAATCTTCTGCATCTGCTCGGGACGCTGCCATTCTGTGAACAAGAAGGCTATCAGCTCCTCCTGGTTCGTGCCCAGCGAAAGATACTTGTTAAATTGCCGAGGCATTCGTTGGGACCGGTTTGTCAGATGCAGTCGCAACACTCCATCGGCTGCACGAGAGCTCCTTTCTAAGTTCTTGATGGAGATGTCACGGTACGTGTCCACAACGAAGTCCACTCGGGTGTACTTAGAAAAGTAGCCGCAGAGCTGTTTCAGGACTACTGCAGCAAACTCTCCAAATGATGCAGGCGCTTCGCTTAGCTTCTGGGTCCTGATCATTGCCATAGCATCAATAATCAGGGCTCCATTAGCAGCAGCAGTGTTGGTTGGAGGTGCAGTCGATATGCCATCGGTGAGCAGAGTAAGTAAAGCAGACTTGTTTGTCTTCACGAGAGCTCCTGATGTAGAGGCAATTGCCCAAGGCAATTCACCTAGTGGGTATGACATCACCTGCCGCATATCCATTTCACGCGTTTGAGCAATCAAGGCCATTCGAGAGAAAGTAGACCTGTCTGCACGAAGGATGTCGGTGTTGCTGGTCGATGCCGTCTTCTTTGCTTTCTTCTTGGTGAAGGTCTGCAGGTTCTGCTTCTTCAGTGGATCATGGAATCCCTTAGCGGATTGCCCAGCAGTCAACCGTTCATGGAGGAACTCATGAAAACAAACCTTGCCACGCTCTTCAGCCGTTCGAAGGTCCTGGGCAGCTTCCTTGGATGCTTCAACGCCAGATGCAAGATGGATTAACTCCATGCATGGCTGTTTGGATGATGAAATGAATGGATTGCGAAGCATGGAGACGGTACCGATCATTTGGAGGACATCCTTCTCATCCCGCACCATTCTGCCCTTCTGGCAATCCTTGTGAAAGGTATCTCTCTCTTCAGTACTGTCATCAAGGCCACAGTGTTCCAAGCAAACATCAGCGACTGCTGCACGGTCATGTGCTGTGAGCACCCAGCGCTGTACAGTAGCAGGATGGCGGCTGAACCCAATTATACCGCCTGTGGTTTTTGTGGCTCGATTGATCGATTGTTCAATAGCTTGGTCGGACGCTACTCGAGCAAAAGGGTTGGATGACCGTTGCACCGAGAACCCACCCTGCTCCAGGAAGGCATGAGCTTCTGGGTGGTTCGTTGGCAATTGGGTCATGTCGAGCCAGTAGAACGACATGAACCGGGCATAGTTCACTCGGTCATATGCAAAACACCAGGGAAGCATATCCCGCACACAGACGAGATGCAACTTCCAGTTGCCAGTGCGACTAGCCCTGACAAACCGCAGTAGCAGATCCACCATGCTGATGTACGATGACCATAGTCCAAAGTTTGGAACCAGCTGGGACTGCTGTTGGCAAAATTCCTGGTATTTGATGTAGAGGCTCCGCAAAGCAGGAGAAGCAGTAACCCGTGACAGGTTGTCACTGGTGATGCACATCTCCAACTCTTGAAAGGCTGAGGAGAGAGGTATGTCAAGCTCAGTCAAGTTGCTGGCATCCACAAATTCCTTCCAGCGCAACCGTTCCAATGCCTCGGAAGCAATCTTGTGGAATCGCATACCCCGGTTGTATTGCCGACCATCCAGGGCAGAGGAGGCTGATGCAGTTCCAGCAACACCAGATTCCACAAGCAGATCCAACAGACCGGCATCGCGAAACCTCTTCCCGATGATTGCCAGAAAGGTGCAAGCAATATGAAAAGCACCTAGTCTCAGTACAATAGGCGCAAACTCTTCTCCTCGTTGTGTGACAATGTCCACGGCCTTGGCGTAAATGGCTTGGTCGAAAACAATCAACGTGAAGCTCAGATCAGAGTTTTGACACCTTCGTAGGCACTTGGTCAGCAATGCATACACGGTTGAAGACTCGGTTGGTGAAGCATTCATCACAGGGCAATATCCAATCCTGGATTTCGGTGGTACATCCTTGCGGCTCACCAGTGCGTTGAATGCTGACCATGATGGCACTTTTTGCTCGGGTAAATCAGACAACACTTCAACGACCGGGTCAAGGAGCTCTCCACTTCGACTGGATCGACAACGCCTCCAGGTGAAGTCGTTCAGCGCCACAGCATCACCATCCGACATAACACCTTCCAGTTGCTGCTGTGTCACAGCCGGCCGCCTCGCAGGGTTTACATTCTTGGCGCAAACGATGTCTGCAAATACTTCTGGCTGTATATCCAGGGCTCTTTTGCGCTTCCGGTTCCGCTCATGGCCTTGTGCTCCAGGCAGCCATGTGCCATCACCCTCACTACTCAGAATTGGCTGCACAACAATCGTGTTGGTGCAGTGAGTGGTGCCCTTCCCGTCCACTGTCTCCTCGTTCAAGTCATTATTGTCAGCAACATGATAGAATGGTGTACCTGCAGAATATGAGAGAAACAAGAGGGAGAGAGAGAGAGAGGGGGGGGGGGGGGAGAGAGCGAATGAGAGACATACACACACAATACACACAGACACAGACACACACACACACACACACACACATACAGACCTTTTTGTAGGATAAAGGGATATCATATTATCACACATACTTGGCGACAAACATTGCACAGAGGACATGCCATTTCGGCTACAGGATTGGTATTTGTCAAATTGACCATTACAAGGATATGCAATATCGAAAGCAGTGTAGGGTTATGAAGTATAAACAGCATTCAACTACATGGCTATGCACAAGCCCTTACTTGGATTGATGACGTCTGGAAGCTGATCCACAACATGCCCGGCAACTAGCTTGTCCTCTGCCATCTTGGTCTCTCTTTCCAACACTTGCGAGTAGGCAATGCAATGACCCAAGCGGTTTAACATTGTGGTCAACTTCTCACTCCGGAACAGATGGTGCAGGGTCAATGCCAAGACTATGTGCTTGGGTGGAATTGCCGAGGCAGTGGCAAACATTACATCCTGCGCAATGGACTGAACACGCCGACACGTTGCTGGATCTTCTACTGAGATCTTGGTTGACTGCACAACAGCATGATACTTGTCTGACATAAGCCACACCAGGAAATTGTGCAGCATGTCCGGTACACTGGCACTTGCATCGTCAACTGAAAGCCCTGTGCACTCGTCAAAGTTGTGCTCCTGACAGAGGACACGCAGTGACCGTGCAGCATGGTACACTGTACCCACATCCGCACCGCTGCTCATTGGTGCAGTTCGCTGAACCACTTCACTAATGGCGACATCCTCATCGCTATCCACATTGCCAAAAGCACCTGCGCTATGGGCATGGGCGATTAAGGTGGGGGCATTAACAGTGGCGTAAACAAGCTCACACTTGCGGCGAGCTGCAGGTCTCACAAACGTGAGCTCTGTTCCATAATTATCAATTAAGTAGCTCTTAACAAAATCATTACGAACGGTCAATGCATTTGTTGTGTTGTAAACAGATGTCAACTGATTTATGTCCAACACTTCATTCTGGTGAAAAAGTCGGTGTTGGATGTTGGCTAAGAAAGCACACTCCTTACCATCATCACCAGGGGCCTGCTCCTCCTCCTGCTCATCAACCACTGCAAGGGTTGTGCTGTCACTCTCCAGGCGTGACAAGGACACCTCACGAGTGTAGGCCTGATAGCAGTGTCTGTGATAAAAAACTTCTCTGGAAATAAGGCTGCCGCCGCCAGAGATGGCAATGATAATTCGGTCGTCCTTACGGATGGACGCAGCCCTTTTTAATTTGGCTTCAGCGTCCTCCGTAAGTAGCTGCGAGAGGTTCTGCCTGGTGGAACGGTTTGGAATTTTCTTTTTCACTTGGCCACAAAAGAGACAGAGTGCGTGACCTGGTGCTACGAGGGGCACATCAATTGATTGCCGGGTGATGCGACGGCTGGGAGCACTACCGCCGTCAAAGCTGGCCATGAACACAGTGCTACTTATACCTAACTAACTACCAACCTAAAATCAAAAGACATAATGGAAATCTAACAGGAAAGCTACGAAAACGCATTCACTTCTGTTCTAATTGTTTTGAGTCTCTGACTGAAGAAATGTGCCACGTGGAGTACCATGTGGACCGCCAATTCAAATTTGAGCAGATACTGTGCGTACTCTGAACGATAAAAGTGCAGCTTGCAAGCAATGTCGACAATCGAAAACGAAGGTCGAAACACTCGCCAAACAAGGCTTTGGCCCCAGGAAAACCATCAACTCTTCGCGATTATGAGGTCACAGAGACCCTTTCTCGCGGATCCTGAAGAGATTTCTTTGTGCACCCATACATGGAACGAGATTCCAAAAACGTCAATTTTTTTCGCCTGGGCTTGTGGACTATATAAGCGACCAGCGAAGAAGTGTTTCACTGCACAGCTTGCAGTGTGTCATCTGCTTCCAGAGATGAAGCAACGTCTTCCTGAACCGTGTCCAGAGTTGGGCAGTTGGTGCAGGCAACTCCTGCCGAGTTGTGGCGACACTGGCAGGCATCTGTGCATTTCAAAGTATGGCGCCGGCATGAGCAGTTCCCACTGCTACAGCCTGTCTTGCAGCCACAGCTGAGGAACTCAAGGAGTGCTCGGGGCGCTGGGGGTAGGCTCAACCAAGAAACGGCAAGATTGCCATCGCTATTCAGACACCAGCCTGTACAAAAAGGAGTGCACCGAAAGAGGAACTGATCATCCACAAGGCAATATTAAAAAAGTTAACACAGTTTTTTTTTAATAATGCTTCTTCCTAGCTTCCATGCACCACATTCTAAAACAGTAACCTTGAGCCTCTTACCTTGATTATTCTCGTGTGGAGCAGGTATGTCTGGTATTGCAGCAAGACAAAGGCGCCACACAGCAGCCTGATAGTTGGCCCTGGCGCAGTGCTTGACGAAGGCATCATGGCATGGTGGAAGCTGATTCGACTGCAACGTTTTCGTGCAGAACAACTGATACCTTGCATCGTTGACCTTGGTGCAACTTTTTGCATTGTAGAGAAGGCACAGAAACGTCTCCAGGGAATCAGTGACATCACCAGGAAGTCCGTCAAAGTTACAACCAACACGGGCGAAGATTGCCTTGTAGTCGGAGTGGGCTGGGGAGCACAGCAACTTGAAGGCAGATTTCTTGCCATGGTGCGCAAAGGAACTGACTGCGTCACAGCCGGTAAAGGCATGGAATGCCGGCAGAGCATCACACACCTCTCTGCCCAACTTTTCGCTGACGGCATTGACCGTGCATCTTCCGTGTCTTGTTGCCAGTTCCAGTTAGGAAGTGTAGAGCAGCAGGGATGCGATTCGTGACTGATACAGCAAGAACTAACACATCGGTGTCCGGTGACTTGATGGTCACGTTCGCGTGACCTGCTGCCGCCGCATTGCTGGCATGGAGAAGGAGCCTCGTGTCAGCTTCTTCATGCGTCGATTTAAGGCTCGCAACAGGAGTATGGACACCCACACCATCTACGCATCTTACCGTGCTACATGATTGCCTGGAAGTTGTCACAAGCTCCTTGCCATCAGGAATCTTCTGCATCTGCTCGGGACGCTGCCATTCTGTGAACAAGAAGGCTATCAGCTCCTCCTTGTTCGTGCCCAGCGAAAGATACTTGTTAAATTGCCGAGGCATTCGTTGGGACCGGTTTGTCAGATGCAGTCGCAACACTCCATCGGCTGCACGAGAGCTCCTTTCTAAGTTCTTGATGGAGATGTCACGGTACGTGTCCACAACGAAGTCCACTCGGGTGTACTTAGAAAAGTAGCCGCAGAGCTGTTTCAGGACTACTGCAGCAAACTCTCCAAATGATGCAGGCGCTTCGCTTAGCTTCTGGGTCCTGATCATTGCCATAGCATCAATAATCAGGGCTCCATTAGCAGCAGCAGTGTTGGTTGGAGGTGCAGTCGATATGCCATCGGTGAGCAGAGTAAGTAAAGCAGACTTGTTTGTCTTCACGAGAGCTCCTGATGTAGAGGCAATTGCCCAAGGCAATTCACCTAGTGGGTATGACATCACCTGCCGCATATCCATTTCACGCGTTTGAGCAATCAAGGCCATTCGAGAGAAAGTAGACCTGTCTGCACGAAGGATGTCGGTGTTGCTGGTCGATGCCGTCTTCTTTGCTTTCTTCTTGGTGAAGGTCTGCAGGTTCTGCTTCTTCAGTGGATCATGGAATCCCTTAGCGGATTGCCCAGCAGTCAACCGTTCATGGAGGAACTCATGAAAACAAACCTTGCCACGCTCTTCAGCCGTTCGAAGGTCCTGGGCAGCTTCCTTGGATGCTTCAACGCCAGATGCAAGATGGATTAACTCCATGCATGGCTGTTTGGATGATGAAATGAATGGATTGCGAAGCATGGAGACGGTACCGATCATTTGGAGGACATCCTTCTCATCCCGCACCATTCTGCCCTTCTGGCAATCCTTGTGAAAGGTATCTCTCTCTTCAGTACTGTCATCAAGGCCACAGTGTTCCAAGCAAACATCAGCGACTGCTGCACGGTCATGTGCTGTGAGCACCCAGCGCTGTACAGTAGCAGGATGGCGGCTGAACCCAATTATACCGCCTGTGGTTTTTGTGGCTCGATTGATCGATTGTTCAATAGCTTGGTCGGACGCTACTCGAGCAAAAGGGTTGGATGACCGTTGCACCGAGAACCCACCCTGCTCCAGGAAGGCATGAGCTTCTGGGTGGTTCGTTGGCAATTGGGTCATGTCGAGCCAGTAGAACGACATGAACCGGGCATAGTTCACTCGGTCATATGCAAAACACCAGGGAAGCATATCCCGCACACAGACGAGATGCAACTTCCAGTTGCCAGTGCGACTAGCCCTGACAAACCGCAGTAGCAGATCCACCATGCTGATGTACGATGACCATAGTCCAAAGTTTGGAACCAGCTGGGACTGCTGTTGGCAAAATTCCTGGTATTTGATGTAGAGGCTCCGCAAAGCAGGAGAAGCAGTAACCCGTGACAGGTTGTCACTGGTGATGCACATCTCCAACTCTTGAAAGGCTGAGGAGAGAGGTATGTCAAGCTCAGTCAAGTTGCTGGCATCCACAAATTCCTTCCAGCGCAACCGTTCCAATGCCTCGGAAGCAATCTTGTGGAATCGCATACCCCGGTTGTATTGCCGACCATCCAGGGCAGAGGAGGCTGATGCAGTTCCAGCAACACCAGATTCCACAAGCAGATCCAACAGACCGGCATCGCGAAACCTCTTCCCGATGATTGCCAGAAAGGTGCAAGCAATATGAAAAGCACCTAGTCTCAGTACAATAGGCGCAAACTCTTCTCCTCGTTGTGTGACAATGTCCACGGCCTTGGCGTAAATGGCTTGGTCGAAAACAATCAACGTGAAGCTCAGATCAGAGTTTTGACACCTTCGTAGGCACTTGGTCAGCAATGCATACACGGTTGAAGACTCGGTTGGTGAAGCATTCATCACAGGGCAATATCCAATCCTGGATTTCGGTGGTACATCCTTGCGGCTCACCAGTGCGTTGAATGCTGACCATGATGGCACTTTTTGCTCGGGTAAATCAGACAACACTTCAACGACCGGGTCAAGGAGCTCTCCACTTCGACTGGATCGACAACGCCTCCAGGTGAAGTCGTTCAGCGCCACAGCATCACCATCCGACATAACACCTTCCAGTTGCTGCTGTGTCACAGCCGGCCGCCTCGCAGGGTTTACATTCTTGGCGCAAACGATGTCTGCAAATACTTCTGGCTGTATATCCAGGGCTCTTTTGCGCTTCCGGTTCCGCTCATGGCCTTGTGCTCCAGGCAGCCATGTGCCATCACCCTCACTACTCAGAATTGGCTGCACAACAATCGTGTTGGTGCAGTGAGTGGTGCCCTTCCCGTCCACTGTCTCCTCGTTCAAGTCATTATTGTCAGCAACATGATAGAATGGTGTACCTGCAGAATATGAGAGAAACAAGAGGGAGAGAGAGAGAGAGGGGGGGGGGGGGGGGAGAGCGAATGAGAGACATACACACACAATACACACAGACACAGACACAGACACACACACATACAGACCTTTTTGTAGGATAAAGGGATATCATATTATCACACATACTTGGCGACAAACATTGCACAGAGGACATGCCATTTCGGCTACAGGATTGGTGTTTGTCAAATTGACCATTACAAGGATATGCAATATCGAAAGCAGTGTAGGGTTATGAAGTATAAACAGCATTCAACTACATGGCTATGCACAAGCCCTTACTTGGATTGATGACGTCTGGAAGCTGATCCACAACATGCCCGGCAACTAGCTTGTCCTCTGCCATCTTGGTCTCTCTTTCCAACACTTGCGAGTAGGCAATGCAATGACCCAAGCGGTTTAACATTGTGGTCAACTTCTCACTCCGGAACAGATGGTGCAGGGTCAATGCCAAGACTATGTGCTTGGGTGGAATTGCCGAGGCAGTGGCAAACATTACATCCTGCGCAATGGACTGAACACGCCGACACGTTGCTGGATCTTCTACTGAGATCTTGGTTGACTGCACAACAGCATGATACTTGTCTGACATAAGCCACACCAGGAAATTGTGCAGCATGTCCGGTACACTGGCACTTGCATCGTCAACTGAAAGCCCTGTGCACTCGTCAAAGTTGTGCTCCTGACAGAGGACACGCAGTGACCGTGCAGCATGGTACACTGTACCCACATCCGCACCGCTGCTCATTGGTGCAGTTCGCTGAACCACTTCACTAATGGCGACATCCTCATCGCTATCCACATTGCCAAAAGCACCTGCGCTATGGGCATGGGCGATTAAGGTGGGGGCATTAACAGTGGCGTAAACAAGCTCACACTTGCGGCGAGCTGCAGGTCTCACAAACGTGAGCTCTGTTCCATAATTATCAATTAAGTAGCTCTTAACAAAATCATTACGAACGGTCAATGCATTTGTTGTGTTGTAAACAGATGTCAACTGATTTATGTCCAACACTTCATTCTGGTGAAAAAGTCGGTGTTGGATGTTGGCTAAGAAAGCACACTCCTTACCATCATCACCAGGGGCCTGCTCCTCCTCCTGCTCATCAACCACTGCAAGGGTTGTGCTGTCACTCTCCAGGCGTGACAAGGACACCTCACGAGTGTAGGCCTGATAGCAGTGTCTGTGATAAAAAACTTCTCTGGAAATAAGGCTGCCGCCGCCAGAGATGGCAATGATAATTCGGTCGTCCTTACGGATGGACGCAGCCCTTTTTAATTTGGCTTCAGCGTCCTCCGTAAGTAGCTGCGAGAGGTTCTGCCTGGTGGAACGGTTTGGAATTTTCTTTTTCACTTGGCCACAAAAGAGACAGAGTGCGTGACCTGGTGCTACGAGGGGCACATCAATTGATTGCCGGGTGATGCGACGGCTGGGAGCACTACCGCCGTCAAAGCTGGCCATGAACACAGTGCTACTTATACCTAACTAACTACCAACCTAAAATCAAAAGACATAATGGAAATCTAACAGGAAAGCTACGAAAACGCATTCACTTCTGTTCTAATTGTTTTGAGTCTCTGACTGAAGAAATGTGCCACGTGGAGTACCATGTGGACCGCCAATTCAAATTTGAGCAGATACTGTGCGTACTCTGAACGATAAAAGTGCAGCTTGCAAGCAATGTCGACAATCGAAAACGAAGGTCGAAACACTCGCCAAACAAGGCTTTGGCCCCAGGAAAACCATCAACTCTTCGCGATTATGAGGTCACAGAGACCCTTTCTCGCGGATCCTGAAGAGATTTCTTTGTGCACCCATACATGGAACGAGATTCCAAAAACGTCAATTTTTTTCGCCTGGGCTTGTGGACTATATAAGCGACCAGCGAAGAAGTGTTTCACTGCACAGCTTGCAGTGTGTCATCTGCTTCCAGAGATGAAGCAACGTCTTCCTGAACCGTGTCCAGAGTTGGGCAGTTGGTGCAGGCAACTCCTGCCGAGTTGTGGCGACACTGGCAGGCATCTGTGCATTTCAAAGTATGGCGCCGGCATGAGCAGTTCCCACTGCTACAGCCTGTCTTGCAGCCACAGCTGAGGAACTCAAGGAGTGCTCGGGGCGCTGGGGGTAGGCTCAACCAAGAAACGGCAAGATTGCCATCGCTATTCAGACACCAGCCTGTACAAAAAGGAGTGCACCGAAAGAGGAACTGATCATCCACAAGGCAATATTAAAAAAGTTAACACAGTTTTTTTTTAATAATGCTTCTTCCTAGCTTCCATGCACCACATTCTAAAACAGTAACCTTGAGCCTCTTACCTTGATTATTCTCGTGTGGAGCAGGTATGTCTGGTATTGCAGCAAGACAAAGGCGCCACACAGCAGCCTGATAGTTGGCCCTGGCGCAGTGCTTGACGAAGGCATCATGGCATGGTGGAAGCTGATTCGACTGCAACGTTTTCGTGCAGAACAACTGATACCTTGCATCGTTGACCTTGGTGCAACTTTTTGCATTGTAGAGAAGGCACAGAAACGTCTCCAGGGAATCAGTGACATCACCAGGAAGTCCGTCAAAGTTACAACCAACACGGGCGAAGATTGCCTTGTAGTCGGAGTGGGCTGGGGAGCACAGCAACTTGAAGGCAGATTTCTTGCCATGGTGCGCAAAGGAACTGACTGCGTCACAGCCGGTAAAGGCATGGAATGCCGGCAGAGCATCACACACCTCTCTGCCCAACTTTTCGCTGACGGCATTGACCGTGCATCTTCCGTGTCTTGTTGCCAGTTCCAGTTAGGAAGTGTAGAGCAGCAGGGATGCGATTCGTGACTGATACAGCAAGAACTAACACATCGGTGTCCGGTGACTTGATGGTCACGTTCGCGTGACCTGCTGCCGCCGCATTGCTGGCATGGAGAAGGAGCCTCGTGTCAGCTTCTTCATGCGTCGATTTAAGGCTCGCAACAGGAGTATGGACACCCACACCATCTACGCATCTTACCGTGCTACATGATTGCCTGGAAGTTGTCACAAGCTCCTTGCCATCAGGAATCTTCTGCATCTGCTCGGGACGCTGCCATTCTGTGAACAAGAAGGCTATCAGCTCCTCCTTGTTCGTGCCCAGCGAAAGATACTTGTTAAATTGCCGAGGCATTCGTTGGGACCGGTTTGTCAGATGCAGTCGCAACACTCCATCGGCTGCACGAGAGCTCCTTTCTAAGTTCTTGATGGAGATGTCACGGTACGTGTCCACAACGAAGTCCACTCGGGTGTACTTAGAAAAGTAGCCGCAGAGCTGTTTCAGGACTACTGCAGCAAACTCTCCAAATGATGCAGGCGCTTCGCTTAGCTTCTGGGTCCTGATCATTGCCATAGCATCAATAATCAGGGCTCCATTAGCAGCAGCAGTGTTGGTTGGAGGTGCAGTCGATATGCCATCGGTGAGCAGAGTAAGTAAAGCAGACTTGTTTGTCTTCACGAGAGCTCCTGATGTAGAGGCAATTGCCCAAGGCAATTCACCTAGTGGGTATGACATCACCTGCCGCATATCCATTTCACGCGTTTGAGCAATCAAGGCCATTCGAGAGAAAGTAGACCTGTCTGCACGAAGGATGTCGGTGTTGCTGGTCGATGCCGTCTTCTTTGCTTTCTTCTTGGTGAAGGTCTGCAGGTTCTGCTTCTTCAGTGGATCATGGAATCCCTTAGCGGATTGCCCAGCAGTCAACCGTTCATGGAGGAACTCATGAAAACAAACCTTGCCACGCTCTTCAGCCGTTCGAAGGTCCTGGGCAGCTTCCTTGGATGCTTCAACGCCAGATGCAAGATGGATTAACTCCATGCATGGCTGTTTGGATGATGAAATGAATGGATTGCGAAGCATGGAGACGGTACCGATCATTTGGAGGACATCCTTCTCATCCCGCACCATTCTGCCCTTCTGGCAATCCTTGTGAAAGGTATCTCTCTCTTCAGTACTGTCATCAAGGCCACAGTGTTCCAAGCAAACATCAGCGACTGCTGCACGGTCATGTGCTGTGAGCACCCAGCGCTGTACAGTAGCAGGATGGCGGCTGAACCCAATTATACCGCCTGTGGTTTTTGTGGCTCGATTGATCGATTGTTCAATAGCTTGGTCGGACGCTACTCGAGCAAAAGGGTTGGATGACCGTTGCACCGAGAACCCACCCTGCTCCAGGAAGGCATGAGCTTCTGGGTGGTTCGTTGGCAATTGGGTCATGTCGAGCCAGTAGAACGACATGAACCGGGCATAGTTCACTCGGTCATATGCAAAACACCAGGGAAGCATATCCCGCACACAGACGAGATGCAACTTCCAGTTGCCAGTGCGACTAGCCCTGACAAACCGCAGTAGCAGATCCACCATGCTGATGTACGATGACCATAGTCCAAAGTTTGGAACCAGCTGGGACTGCTGTTGGCAAAATTCCTGGTATTTGATGTAGAGGCTCCGCAAAGCAGGAGAAGCAGTAACCCGTGACAGGTTGTCACTGGTGATGCACATCTCCAACTCTTGAAAGGCTGAGGAGAGAGGTATGTCAAGCTCAGTCAAGTTGCTGGCATCCACAAATTCCTTCCAGCGCAACCGTTCCAATGCCTCGGAAGCAATCTTGTGGAATCGCATACCCCGGTTGTATTGCCGACCATCCAGGGCAGAGGAGGCTGATGCAGTTCCAGCAACACCAGATTCCACAAGCAGATCCAACAGACCGGCATCGCGAAACCTCTTCCCGATGATTGCCAGAAAGGTGCAAGCAATATGAAAAGCACCTAGTCTCAGTACAATAGGCGCAAACTCTTCTCCTCGTTGTGTGACAATGTCCACGGCCTTGGCGTAAATGGCTTGGTCGAAAACAATCAACGTGAAGCTCAGATCAGAGTTTTGACACCTTCGTAGGCACTTGGTCAGCAATGCATACACGGTTGAAGACTCGGTTGGTGAAGCATTCATCACAGGGCAATATCCAATCCTGGATTTCGGTGGTACATCCTTGCGGCTCACCAGTGCGTTGAATGCTGACCATGATGGCACTTTTTGCTCGGGTAAATCAGACAACACTTCAACGACCGGGTCAAGGAGCTCTCCACTTCGACTGGATCGACAACGCCTCCAGGTGAAGTCGTTCAGCGCCACAGCATCACCATCCGACATAACACCTTCCAGTTGCTGCTGTGTCACAGCCGGCCGCCTCGCAGGGTTTACATTCTTGGCGCAAACGATGTCTGCAAATACTTCTGGCTGTATATCCAGGGCTCTTTTGCGCTTCCGGTTCCGCTCATGGCCTTGTGCTCCAGGCAGCCATGTGCCATCACCCTCACTACTCAGAATTGGCTGCACAACAATCGTGTTGGTGCAGTGAGTGGTGCCCTTCCCGTCCACTGTCTCCTCGTTCAAGTCATTATTGTCAGCAACATGATAGAATGGTGTACCTGCAGAATATGAGAGAAACAAGAGGGAGAGAGAGAGAGAGGGGGGGGGGGGGGGGGAGAGCGAATGAGAGACATACACACACAATACACACAGACACAGACACAGACACACACACATACAGACCTTTTTGTAGGATAAAGGGATATCATATTATCACACATACTTGGCGACAAACATTGCACAGAGGACATGCCATTTCGGCTACAGGATTGGTGTTTGTCAAATTGACCATTACAAGGATATGCAATATCGAAAGCAGTGTAGGGTTATGAAGTATAAACAGCATTCAACTACATGGCTATGCACAAGCCCTTACTTGGATTGATGACGTCTGGAAGCTGATCCACAACATGCCCGGCAACTAGCTTGTCCTCTGCCATCTTGGTCTCTCTTTCCAACACTTGCGAGTAGGCAATGCAATGACCCAAGCGGTTTAACATTGTGGTCAACTTCTCACTCCGGAACAGATGGTGCAGGGTCAATGCCAAGACTATGTGCTTGGGTGGAATTGCCGAGGCAGTGGCAAACATTACATCCTGCGCAATGGACTGAACACGCCGACACGTTGCTGGATCTTCTACTGAGATCTTGGTTGACTGCACAACAGCATGATACTTGTCTGACATAAGCCACACCAGGAAATTGTGCAGCATGTCCGGTACACTGGCACTTGCATCGTCAACTGAAAGCCCTGTGCACTCGTCAAAGTTGTGCTCCTGACAGAGGACACGCAGTGACCGTGCAGCATGGTACACTGTACCCACATCCGCACCGCTGCTCATTGGTGCAGTTCGCTGAACCACTTCACTAATGGCGACATCCTCATCGCTATCCACATTGCCAAAAGCACCTGCGCTATGGGCATGGGCGATTAAGGTGGGGGCATTAACAGTGGCGTAAACAAGCTCACACTTGCGGCGAGCTGCAGGTCTCACAAACGTGAGCTCTGTTCCATAATTATCAATTAAGTAGCTCTTAACAAAATCATTACGAACGGTCAATGCATTTGTTGTGTTGTAAACAGATGTCAACTGATTTATGTCCAACACTTCATTCTGGTGAAAAAGTCGGTGTTGGATGTTGGCTAAGAAAGCACACTCCTTACCATCATCACCAGGGGCCTGCTCCTCCTCCTGCTCATCAACCACTGCAAGGGTTGTGCTGTCACTCTCCAGGCGTGACAAGGACACCTCACGAGTGTAGGCCTGATAGCAGTGTCTGTGATAAAAAACTTCTCTGGAAATAAGGCTGCCGCCGCCAGAGATGGCAATGATAATTCGGTCGTCCTTACGGATGGACGCAGCCCTTTTTAATTTGGCTTCAGCGTCCTCCGTAAGTAGCTGCGAGAGGTTCTGCCTGGTGGAACGGTTTGGAATTTTCTTTTTCACTTGGCCACAAAAGAGACAGAGTGCGTGACCTGGTGCTACGAGGGGCACATCAATTGATTGCCGGGTGATGCGACGGCTGGGAGCACTACCGCCGTCAAAGCTGGCCATGAACACAGTGCTACTTATACCTAACTAACTACCAACCTAAAATCAAAAGACATAATGGAAATCTAACAGGAAAGCTACGAAAACGCATTCACTTCTGTTCTAATTGTTTTGAGTCTCTGACTGAAGAAATGTGCCACGTGGAGTACCATGTGGACCGCCAATTCAAATTTGAGCAGATACTGTGCGTACTCTGAACGATAAAAGTGCAGCTTGCAAGCAATGTCGACAATCGAAAACGAAGGTCGAAACACTCGCCAAACAAGGCTTTGGCCCCAGGAAAACCATCAACTCTTCGCGATTATGAGGTCACAGAGACCCTTTCTCGCGGATCCTGAAGAGATTTCTTTGTGCACCCATACATGGAACGAGATTCCAAAAACGTCAATTTTTTTCGCCTGGGCTTGTGGACTAAGGGCCCATGTTCACTCTTTTGTACAAACAATGGACGCCGCCGCCCCGCGGCCGGCCCTTGCCGCTTCTGTCACGTGGTCCTTGCCAGCCACGTGGTCCTTGCCTGCCAATCACGTGATAATGCCGGTCCCACATGCACAGGACACG